TAGCTGCACGCACGCGTAATGTGTCATGCGCAGGGTGTTTGTGGCAAGGGAAACTACCCATGAATAAATACAGCTTGATTAGTCCACAAATGCTTGCTTCCCTTGTATTTATGATTTAACAGGGATCTGATATAACAACATGGGTTCGATTCTCAGCTGAATTATTATAATAATATTTAAAATTTGGTCACTTAATTTGCATCTTATTGTCTGCGGCATGGTTGAAAGACTATAGTAACATTTATCGTTTGATTGCGCCTAGCTGGGGTTCTTTTCTTCCTATGCATTTCAACTTTCATCATTTCTCACGCTTGGTTTCCTGTATAATAAACAATGAAAACGTATAAGCTATATTGAAGGAAAAAATACATTTGAAATAAAAAACATTGTGAGTCCCTACTTTCCGGATAACCATTGTTCGATGCAAGTCAGTTGACACAACATGGTAAAATGGATGGTAGTAACTGGCATGACCTCTTACACCTTCTGGAGATGTTTTTATTTCTCCTTTTTTCGTTTTCCTGGAGCTATTGTAAACAGGCGTTGGGTCAACCAGCAACAACTTTGGTTGGTTTGACCTGTTGGAAGAATTTGGTGGGGCTGACGTCCGAGACTCATCAGCATACACCTGTACTCCGTCACCAAAGAGTCAGCGACTTTCCTACGGGGTTCGATGCCGGGTCAGAAATGTTCATATAAACCTGGGAGTCATTCGTGTTTCAGAGATTTCACTTGGTATGGATGGGGTTTGAGCGTGATGACAATGTTTTACGGACGTACTGGGCTGACACATAGGTAGGGGAGTCCTTCATTCAACCTCTTACCCTAATCCTAACCCTAACCCGAACCCGAACCCGAACCCGAACCCGAACCCGAACCCGAACCCGAACCCTCGGCAATAGAAACTTTTCACTTGGAGAAAAGCCTGTCTGTGGGGTTGAAGTACAATGATCCGCCATTCATTACAGTTGTCAGCTACTTTTGCGAACTGTTCCAACTATCCAGGCATTAAAAGCAAGAAAATTTGAAAGTTAGAAGCAGCTACAAAAAGCAGAAACAGCTGAGAAAAATCAAAAGTGCATTTAATACACTATATCAATTATCTTGCTCTATGCCAGACTGTGATGTTAAACTGGACATGATACCCCCGTTATTATCCAACAAAAAGTAGAAACGAAACGTAGTGACGTGCGAACTGTTCAGAAAATGGAAACTCGAAAGAACCAGAGAAAGCAGCTTACTGTTAAAGTATGATTTAGAGCAATTTCATGACAAAAATTTAAAAGTACAAGTAATCATCATTTTTTGGGGTAAGGAACACTGGGAAATCGGGTCTCTTCCAACAATGATCTTTATTCAAATCCAAAGTGAAATATTGTTTTGTTCCAAGAGATTTGGACTTTGCACATCATCTTCACACATATTTTTTGTAACCTGATATTTTTATCAATGTATTGGAAAGGGGGGGGGTACGGGAGGGGGGTACCGTACGTGAAATCTTTAAGTCCCAGCGGTGATCGTTTTGTTTTTGCTAAAGAAGAAACATACACAAAAATTTCAAGTACGCACATCTTGAGACAGTTAGATATTTAAAGATAAAACCTAGACCCTTTCGATTAGATGTTCTTGAGCTCCCTTACTTCAGATAGTATGAGTCTGTGTTACGATGAGCCCCAATAGAGCGTGCTCTTTCAACTCTGATTGTTCGATCAGCGTGTTTTCATAATTCTATATATCCATTTAGCTCGATCTTATTGGGGATCACCGTTACATCAAAGGTCTGGGCCTCTTAGTCTTAGGTACCAGTAGAGCACTTAAACAGATGATAAATAGGTACCATGATAGTTTGGGATCTTTGGAATAAAAAATGTATTCAGCGAATCGAAACAAACATCCGTGTATATATTCCTGGTGCTTAAATATGTTGTTGTAGTTTTTTTTTGTAAAATCAGTGTTTCAACTTAGCCACTAGGTTGTGATTATTAAGTTCTTAGAACGTTATGTTCAAAATAAGAAAAGAGAGGGGAAATTTGGGTTGATCCGAATCTTCAATATTTTCTCACGTCGACGAACGCAGTCGATCTGCCTATCCTCTCGACCCATCTCCCGTTCGTTGCTTCCTCCTCAAAACTAACTCCTTTGGCGGGGATCTCAAGTCATAGGCTAACCCGATCTTTGCCATTAGATTGATGAACATGGTGGCCAGGTTGAGCCTCCCACCCAGCTCGCTAGCGGCGTAGTCGTAGGGGAACGTGTGGTGGTAGTTGTGGAAGCCCTCCCCCCACGCTAGGATGGAGACACCCTCGTTCTCCGTCGGGTTGATGGTCGCGTCATACGGCTTGGTCCCCCACATGTGGGCGGCGCTGTTGATAAAAAACGCGCCGTTCAGCACGCAAAGGTACCTCAAAACGCTCATAAAGAAGGAGACGTAGAACGTTTCCCCCCAGTAAAGCACTGGCACCATCACCGGGATGATGATGTTGAAGGTGATGACCAGAGGCCAATAGTAGCGGTGCTGGAAAGCGGCCACCGGGTCGTTCATCACGTCGGAGAGGTCCACCAGTTTGAATTTCTCTTTGACTTCAGGGTGTTTCTTCAGGCAGATCCAGCCTATGTGAGAGTAGAGAAATCCCCGCCGTGAGTTGTGGGGGTCGGCGTCTGTGTCCACATACTTGTGGTGAACTCTGTGGTCTCGCGCCCAAGTCTTGATCGAATTCTGAGAGCAGAAAAATTGTTTTAAAAATGTTTTCATAGGTTGAGAAGCGGAAAGAAAGAGACGTTTTTATTTTATTCTCATAAATCAGCTCCCTCAGCTTTTTGAGGGCCATTTAAAAGGCGTGAATCTTTATTCTAACGCTGGACCCCCAAAATAAGAGTAAGCAACTTGGAAAGGCCTGATCAGATTGTGTCGGATTCAAACCTCAAACATAGTTCACATCTGTATTTTTCCTGACCAGCAGTATCACTACAACAGCTGTCTCCTTCGATAAGATAAAAAGTAAAAGAAATGGGACTCTACAGGAAGACAGAGACAACTTTCAATTTTAGGCAAATATTTTGGAATGATACTTTATTGTCCCAGTGGGGAATTTTGGTCATCTATCACTACAGCAGGGAGTCCCGAAAGCTAAGC